CCAGTGGACACTTATGTTGTGTTGTCTGAAGTCTGTTACATATCTGTCTGAGGTTTTTTTTTTTTTTTTTTTTTTTTGCAGTGCAAGGCTGCCCTCCTGGTGGTGGGTAGCTCTGAAGTACCTTTTTTTCCCTCCACCTGAACCAATCCTCATGTAAAACCCTCTTATCTCTATTAAGGTAACGCGACTCAGGGTTGCGAATGACCACAGTCACCAATTCTTGTCATGTGTCTTGCCCATGTATGTCTGATCTCCGAATTGTGTTGTACTGAAACTCTAATTTCCCTCTGGGATTAATGAAGTATCTTTGATTTGATTTGATATGATTGATATCGCGCATCAGAAATCATCATGCTATTATAAATCCAATGTTGATGTTATGTCCTGACATTTTGAGCTCCATTTCTGTTATTTTCTCCCAAACTGCTGCTCTGCTCGCAGCTCTTTGTGACTTATTTAAAGATATGGTCACAAGATCCATCTCCGTGGCCTTAGGCAGACGGTGATCATCTACAAATCAGCCAAACCTGGCTTCAACTTGATTTAACCCTGGCACTCAGTTTCACTATCTGCTAATCTGGGGAGTCAGGTGATGATGGGGAGCATCGTGGCTTTTAAAATTTTTACAGTCAGGCTGCTTCTAAAAGGCAGGAATTAGAAATACCTCCCTGGATACAGGTAACACTGCGTCGCAGAACGGAGACTGCTGTTTGTCGTGGGATTTACGCTCTGAGTCTCACAGACAGGTTAAACATATGTAATCTCAGATTATTTAGCTTTCTATGAAAATTCTCTCTATGAGAAACTTCTTGAATAAATAATTTATTTCATTCATGTCCATTTTTTAGATGTGTTGAATCTATCATGTTTTTGCTAAACTTATTTATCTATTTTTCATTTTTCTCTTACCAAACACCAAGAAACCGTGAAAGAGCAGAAGCATCGTCAGCTTCTTCAGCCCTTATTAACACGTTGCTGTTAACACCAGGAGCCTCAGGGAGAATTTTCACAGCTCTCAGATAGAAGCGGCACGACAACACCTACCAACTCTGGTTGGTAAACCCTTAAATGGAAACACAGTTTTTTGTTTTTAGGTTTAAACCGATTCTGCTCATTACATTTATGGACAGGTGCAGCCAGATGTTGAGGTGATCCGTGTGGTGGCCTGAGGATTGGGTCTCTGCTTTTTGCAGATGATGTGATCCTGTTGGCTTCATCAGAATGGGATCTCCGGGTTTTGCTGGAGCAGTTTGCAGCTGAGTGTGAAGCAGCTGCGTTCAGAATCAGATCCTCTAAATCCGCGACCATGGTCTTGAGTCGGAAAAGGGTAGGATGCCTTCTCCGGTTCAGGGATGAGGTCCTGCCTCAATCGGAGGAGTTAAAGTTTCTCGGGGTCTTGTTGATGAGTGAGGGAAAGATGGAGCTCGAGATCGATAGTTGGATTGGTGCTGCGTCTGCAGTGATGTGGGCGTTGTACCGGTCTGTCGTGGTGAAGAGATTAACTGGTCGATCTACGTTCCTACCCTCAACTACATTCACAATCTTTGGGTATTGACCGAAAGAATGAGACTGCAGATACAAGCGGCAAAAATGAGTTTTCTCCGCAGGGTGGCTGGGATCTCCCTTAGAGATAGGGTGAGAAGCTCGGTCATCGGGAGGGGCTCAGAATAGATCCACTGCTCCTCCACATCAAGAGAAGCTGAAGGGATTATGTTTCTCAGCTGGCCAGCGAACCCCTTGGGATCCCCCCCTGGAGGAGCTGGCCAAAGTGGCTGGGGAGAGGAAAGTCTGGACCTCTCTGCGTAGGCTGCTGTCTCCACGACACGATCACGGATAAGCGGACAATAATGATGGATGGATAGATTTAGCAAATATCACATTTATTGAATTTCATGTATTTTGTAGATCATAGCAAACTATTAGTAATTAGCGACAAGAGGATTCTTACGTTTATGAAATGCCTGTCTTGAAAGGTGGTGGGTCTTTTGACGCTATTAGTTGTTTAATGTTCTGTGTAAAAAATAATTGTGACCACCGCTTGTTTATTATTAAGTCACAAAGAATCGATAAAATTTTATTTGACCTACATTTGACCTACTTCCTGACTGGCTAGAACTTTCCAGCTCACTAACTCAGGATGTAATTAGGAGCAACGTCTCACGTCAAACAGGTAATTTATCATAATATATTTGACGGCCACTTGAGTCTAATCATGACATTTGTTTTGATTTCATCTTAATTTATTCCTTCATTACGTCTTGCTTTTCTGCAAACTGCTGGATTTCACATGTAAGGAACTCCAAATGCTTGCTGCCATTATATGTGAAAGGATATTTGATAAGGTTGATGATAATAATATTAATAATACTAACATGTATTATGTCATTCTTGAACCTTGTGGCCAAGGCTGCATGTCTAGATAAATACAATGTGGAGCATAAAAAACGAGAATGTATTCCTATGTCATACATGTAGCCCTGTAGTGAGAAGATTATAGGAAGTGTTACCCCCAGAAATCTTTATGGGCACAGAACCTCAGGAGGCAGAAACATGGATAATGGATCCTCAGGAGGCAAAAACACAGGTAACGGAACCTCAAAAAGAGGCAGAAACACAGGTAACTGAACCTCAGGAAGCAGAAACACAGGTAATGGAACCTCGGGAGGCGGAAACACAGGTAATGGAACCTCGGGAGGCAGAAACACATAGTGGAACCTCAGGAGGCAGAAACACAGGTACTGGAACCTCAGGAGGCAGAAACACAGATAGTGGAACCTCAGGAGGCAGAAACACAGGTACTGGAACCTCGGGAGGCGGAAACACATGTAATGGAACCTCAGGAAGAGGCAGAAACACAGGTAAAGGAACCTCAGGAGACAGAAACACAGATAATGGAACCTTAGGAGGCAGAAACACAGATAATGGAACCTCAGGAGACAGAAACACAGATAATGGAACCTTAGGAGGCAGAAACACAGATAATGGAACCTCAGGAGGCAGAAACACAGGTAAAGGAACCTCAGGAGGCAGAAACACAGACAATGGAACCTCAGGAGGCAGAAACACAGACAATGGAACCTCAGGAGGCAGAAACACAGGTAATGGAACCTCAGGAGACAGAAACACAGATAATGGAACCTTAGGAGGCAGAAACACAGATAATGGAACCTCAGGAGGCAGAAACACAGGTAAAGGAACCTCAGGAGGCAGAAACACAGACAATGGAACCTCAGGAGGCAGAAACACAGGTAATGGAACCTTAGGAGGCAGAAACACATGTATAGGAACCTCAGGAGGCAGAAACACAGGTAATGGAACCTCAGGAGACAGAAACACAGGTAATGGAACCTTAGGAGGCAGAAACACAGATAATGGAACCTCAGGAGGCAGAAACACAGGTAATGGAACCTCAGGAGGCAGAAACACAGGTAAAGGAACCTCAGGAGACAGAAACACAGATAATGGAACCTCAGGAGGCAGAAACGCAGGTAAAGGAACCTCAGGAGGCAGAAACACAGGTAATGGAACCTCAGGAGACAGAAACACAGATAATGGAACCTCAGGAGGCAGAAACACAGGTAAAGGAACCTCAGGAGGCAGAAACACAGACAATGGAACCTCAGGAGGCAGAAACACAGGCAAAGGAACCTCAGGAGGCAGAAACACAGACAATGGAACCTCAGGAGGCAGGTACTGGAACCTCAGGAGGCAGAAACACAGATAATGGAACCTTAGGAGGCAGAAACACATGTATAGGAACCTCAGGAGGCAGAAACACAGGTAATGGAACCTCAGGAGACAGAAACACAGATAATGGAACCTTAGGAGGCAGAAACACAGATAATGGAACCTCAGGAGGCAGAAACACAGGTAATGGAACCTTAGGAGGCAGAAACACAGGTAATGGAACCTCAGGAGGCAGAAACACAGGTAATGGAACCTCAGGAGGCAGAAACACAGATAATGGAACCTCAGGAGGCAGAAACACAGATAATGGATCCTCAGGAGGCAGAAACACAGGTAATGGAACCTCAGGAGGCAGAAACACAGGTAATGGAACCTCAGGAGGCAGAAACACAGGCAAAGGAACCTCAGGAGGCAGAAACACAGACAATGGAACCTCAGGAGGCAGGTACTGGAACCTCAGGAGGCAGAAACACAGATAATGGAACCTTAGGAGGCAGAAACACAGGTAATGGAACCTCAGGAGGCAGAAACACAGGTAATGGAACCTCAGGAGGCAGAAACACAGGTAATGGAACCTCAGGAGGCAGAAACACAGGTAATGGAACCTCAGGAGGCAGAAACACAGGTAATGGAACCTCAGGAGGCAGAAACACAGATAATGGAACCTCAGGAGGCAGAAACACAGGTAATGGAACCTTAGGAGGCAGAAACACAGGTAATGGAACCTCAGGAGGCAGAAACACAGGTAATGGAACCTCAGGAGGCAGAAACACAGGTAATGGAACCTCAGGAGGCAGAAACACAGGTAATGGAACCTCAGGAGGCAGAAACACAGATAATGGAACCTCAGGAGGCAGAAACACAGGTAATGGAACCTCATGAAGAGGCAGAAACACAGGTAAAGGAACCTCAGGAGACAGAAACACAGATAATGGAACCTCAGGAGGCAGAAACACAGACAATGGAATCTCAGGAGGCAGAAACACAGATAATGGATCCTCAGGAGGCAGAAACACAGGTAATGGAACCTCAGGAGGCAGAAACACAGATAGTGGAACCTCAGGAGGCAGAAACACAGGCAAAGGAACCTCAGGAGGCAGAAACACAGACAATGGAACCTCAGGAGGCAGGTACTGGAACCTCAGGAGGCAGAAACACAGATAATGGAACCTTAGGAGGCAGAAACACAGGTAATGGAACCTCAGGAGGCAGAAACACAGGTAATGGAACCTCAGGAGGCAGAAACACAGGTAATGGAACCTCAGGAGGCAGAAACACAGGTAATGGAACCTCAGGAGGCAGAAACACAGATAATGGAACCCCAGGAGGCAGAAACACAGGTAATGGAACCTCAGGAAGAGGCAGAAACACAGGTAAAGGAACCTCAGGAGACAGAAACACAGATAATGGAACCTCAGGAGGCAGAAACACAGACAATGGAACCTCAGGAGGCAGAAACACAGATAATGGATCCTCAGGAGGCAGAAACACAGGTAATGGAACCTCAGGAGGCAGAAACACAGATAGTGGAACCTCAGGAGGCAGAAACACAGGCAAAGGAACCTCAGGAGGCAGAAACACAGACAATGGAACCTCAGGAGGCAGAAACACAGGCAAAGGAACCTCAGGAGGCAGAAACACAGACAATGGAACCTCAGGAGGCAGGTACTGGAACCTCAGGAGGCAGAAACACAGGTAATGGAACCTCAGGAGGCAGAAACACGGATAGTGGAACCTCAGGAGGCAGAAACACAGGCAAAGGAACCTCAGGAGGCAGAAACACAGACAATGGAACCTCAGGAGGCAGAAACACAGGTACTGGAACCTCAGGAGGCAGAAACACATGTATAGGAACCTCAGGAGGAAGAAACACAGGTAATGGAACCTCAGGAAGAGGCAGAAACACAGGTAAGGAACCTCAGGAGACAGAAACACAGATAATGGAACCTTAGGAGGCAGAAACACATGTATAGGAACCTCAGGAGGCAGAAACACAGGTAATGGAACCTCAGGAGGCAGAAACACAGATAATGGAACCTCAGGAGACAGAAACACAGATAATGGAACCTCAGGAGGCAGAAACACAGGTAATGGAACCTCAGGAAGAGGCAGAAACACAGGTAAAGGAACCTCAGGAGACAGAAACACAGATAATGGAACCTCAGGAGGCAGAAACACAGACAATGGAACCTCATGAGGCAGAAACACAGATAATGGATCCTCAGGAGGCAGAAACACAGGCAAAGGAACCTCAGGAGGCAGAAACACGGATATTGGAACCTCAGGAGGCAGAAACACAGGCAAAGGAACCCCAGGAGACAGAAACACAGGTAATGGAACCTCAGGAGGCAGAAACACAGGCAAAGGAACCTCAGGAGGCAGAAACACGGATATTGGAACCTCAGGAGGCAGAAACACAGGCAAAGGAACCTCAGGAGGCAGAAACACAGAAAATGGATCCTCAGGAGGCTGAAACACAGGTAATGGAACCTCAGGAAGCAGAAACACAGGTAACGGAACCTCAGGAGACAGAAACACAGATAATGGAACCTCAGGAGGCAGAAACACAGGTAATGGAACCTCAGGAAGCAGAAACACAGGGAATCGAACCTCAGGAGACAGAAACACAGATAATCGAACCGTAGGAGGCAGAAACACATGTATAGGAACCTCAGGAGGCAGAAAAACATGTATTGGAACCTCAGGAGGCAGAAACACAGACAATGGAACCTCAGGAGGCAGAAACACAGACAATGGAACCTCAGGAGGCAGAAACACAGATAATGGATCCTCAGGAGGCAGAAACACAGGTAACGGAACCTCAGGAGGCAGAAACACAGGTAATGGAACCTCAGGAGTCAGAAACACGGATAATGGATCCTCAGGAGGCAGAAACACAGGTAACGGAACCTCAGGAGGCAGAAACACAGGTAATGGAACCTCAGGAGGCAGAAACACAGATAGTGGAACCTCAGGAGGCAGAAACACAGGCAAAGGAACCTCAGGAGGCAGAAACACAGATAGTGGAACCTCAGGTGGCAGAAACACAGGTAATGGATCCTCAGGAGGCAGAAACACAGGTAATGGAACCTCAGGAGGCAGAAACACAGGTAACGGAACCTCAGGAAGCAGAAACACAGGGAATCGAACCTCAGGAGACAGAAACACAGATAATCGAACCTTAGGAGGCAGAAACACATGTATAGGAACCTCAGGAGGCAGAAAAACATGTATTGGAACCTCAGGAGGCAGAAACACAGACAATGGAACCTCAGGAGGCAGAAACACAGACAATGGAACCTCAGGAGGCAGAAACACAGATAATGGATCCTCAGGAGGCAGAAACACAGGTAATGGAACCTCAGGAGTCAGAAACACGGATAATGGATCCTCAGGAGGCAGAAACACAGGTAATGGAACCTCAGGAGGCAGAAACACAGATAGTGGAACCTCAGGAGGCAGAAACACAGGCAAAGGAACCTCAGGAGGCAGAAACACAGATAGTGGAACCTCAGGTGGCAGAAACACAGGTAATGGATCCTCAGGAGGCAGAAACACAGGTAATGGAACCTCAGGAGGCAGAAACACAGGTAACGGAACCTCAGGAAAAAGCAAAAACAAAGGTAATGGAATTTCATGTAAGGTTGAGTCACACTGAATGAAAAATAAATAAACAGTAAAACTTACTGATTGACACACTTTAGTAGCAAAATATTATCCTGAGGGCTGAACATGAAGCCAAATTAATTTTTATGAAGTTTTCCTCACTTGTTCCACATATAGGCCCCTCAACCAACACACACACACTCTCACACAAACACACACACACACACAGTTTTTAGCTGAAGTATTTTTGTTTTTGAGTGTAGCCTACAATGCTACATGCTGTAAAACTATGCATGCTAGCAGCGAGGCCTTGAGCACATTCAACCTGTCTACAAATGCTGCACTTGTCAGAACATCTCCATACTACTCAACAATTTCATCCCCCACACACTTCCCACTGAGTCTAGGCTGTTCCTCACAGCGGCACGGTTAGCTTTAGACCCAATTCAGTCCAGCAAGAGCATATTATAGCTGTTCTAAAGCATTAGCCATCAAAATCATTGACAAATCTGCCCACAAATCACTGCAAATGAGTTTTAGCCCTCATATTCAGAGGCAAACCTCGATCTGGGACTGATGTGAACTCAGCTGGTTTTCATAAGCCTTTATTTGTGTCCACAACCATCATCGTCAACTATGACGCTGCCGAATCTCTGTGGGATTACACATTAGCAGACACGCTCTGAAGCACAAAGACTGAGCGACACAGCTGCATGCAAAAGGCGGGGAAGACGAGGGATTTGCTAAGGGCTACCCACTGCTCTTACATTAGGCTTGTTGTGCTGTTGATTTTTGGATCACAGTGGGAACGTTAGGCCGACTGCACAACGACTCAAGGGAATCCTGGACTAAAATTAATGCTTCGGTTTTTGGGCTGCATTGCGAGATGGCAGAAGAACCATTTGTGTGTGTGCATGGAAATCTCTTTTTATAGAAGTTTTTACAATAATTTGATTATTATAAGTTAGTTGCAACTTTCTCTTCCCTGCGTGGTTTGAGAAAGAGCCGTTAGTGTAATGCTCGCTCTCCTCCCGACCCACCTCTCACCATCCATCATGACATTTACTGCACGGCCCCTCAGATAAACACCTGATGAGATGAAATATTGATCTTTCCCTCAACGTAATCTCTCTGTCTTCACCACACGCACGCACACACGCACACACACACACACACACACACACACACACAAGTGCATCCTCACAGCTTCAGTGTCATCGCCTCTGTGTACTTAAGATGCAGTTAAAATGATTTGTGTGCATTGTGTGTAAGAATCTCACCGGCTTTGTTTCTGTTTTTCATATTTTTCATCGGGCTGACAGGAGGAGATAAGATTTAGCTTGAACACTGCTTTAACTAACTGCCGTCTAAAGCAGATGGAGGTGATGTTTAAAGTTCACAGAGCAAGCCTCAATGAATCAAAGGGCTCTGGAAACTGGGACATGTCTACAGGTGTTTCTGTGTCTGAATCAGGCTTTGTCTCCTATGGGAGATGCGGCTGCCAGCAGTGCTGCTGCTGCAAACCATGTGGTGCCTTTAAGCCCAGAGCAAGTGTTGAGTGTTCTTGTTGTGCAGTGCCTGGACAGCAGCCACATTGTTTTTTTTTTCCATTCGGAGGACACAAAGGTGCAGCTGGATGCTGGATTGGGTCCAGTTTGGTGACATTACGCTGGTATCTGCTTCTTGCTGATGACACAGTCCTCCTGGCTTCAGTGAAGCGTAAATGCTGCTGTGCATTGGAGCTGTCTGCTGGCGGAGCACGTTGTGGATCAGCACTCCTGCTAAAAACTGGGCCACTAGTTCAGTTGTTGGGTTTGTTGACTCATGTTTTCAGATGGAAAAGAATGTCAGCCTGCCCTACTAACATTTAATAGCTTCATATTTAATATCTTCTATAACCTATGATGGTCTCTAGAGGTGACGAACTTACTGAGGGTTTTGGGAAGCTACATTAGATTTGGTGAAGTGGCCGAGACTCCAAGTGAATGCTAAAATGCTGTAGTTCGGAATAATCTGGTTAATCAATGTGTCACGCCCTGTCCTTTCTCCCCATTCTGTTTAGTTCTGTGTCCATGTTAATTGCTCCCACCTGCCTCTCGTCTCCAAATCACCCAAGGTCCCAGCTTTTCCTATATTTAAACCCTGTTAGTCCATTTTGTCTGGTTGGCTCATTGTTTCATTGTCCAGTGTGTGTTCAAGATTAAAGACTCTAAACTCATTCTGGTTTGTCTGCCTGCCTGCTTCCCTCACCTGCATGTGGATCCTTGTATCTGCCTCACTCACCGGCACGTTGTGACAGAATGAGCTAACCCCGAAAAGGATCCAGCGGGGAGGTTCTTCCTTGGGAGTGTTTGCTCCAGTTTTTAACCGCTTCTCCTCCTCTGGCCTCGTCTCGCCACAGATGCTGTCGCCGAACCCTGGCTGCGACGATCCCCTCCGCCCTCCCGGAGCTAGATGTGAGGTTGGACCAGGAGACACAGCGAGACCGCTCCTGCTACGTGGGCACCAGACTGGCTGTGTGCTCCCCCGGAGCTGGCCCACGGCTTTGGGAAGGATGCCGGGCTCCACCGTCACCCCTGGTCCCAGGACGGAGCCGCGAGCTCGCTGCAGCTCCGGCTCGGCGCGCCAGCTTGGACCCGCCGCCAGTCAGACCAGCAGCCCCGTCTCCGGTCCAATCAGTGCCTCCGTCATCTGCAGGCAGAGGGACCACGACTACAGCCCAGCTGACAGAGCTCGCCGGCCTCCAGGCGGAGCTTGGCTGGATCCATCAGCTCGTCAGCCTCCAGGAGTTCCAGCTGGACACCCTATCCTCCCCGACTTACCAGGAGAAGGTTCCGGTCCAGTCTGCAGCTCCCTCATCTCTCGGCCAAAGGATCGAACCCGCAGTCCACCCAGCATAACTCGCCGGTCTCTGATCAGAGCCTCAGTCTCCAGGAGCTCCAGCTGGACAATCTATCCTCCCTGCTCTCCAAGTTTCCAGCACCACCAGTTCGGTCAGCTTCTGTCCCAGCGGTGGTCCCGGTAGGTGCACCACATCCAGTTCCAGTGGTGGTCCCGGTGGGTGCACCACATCCAGTTCCAGTGGTGGTCCCGGAGGTCGCACCGCATCCTGTTCCAGCGGTGGTCCCGGAGTTTGCACCGCATCCGGTCCAGCCTGTCCAAGCAGTCCCCTTCTGTAGCAACTCCTCTTCCACTCCAGAAGCCGGCGGTCCAGAAGCCGACGCCCCCGGACCAGAAGTCGACGGTCCAGAAATCGGCGGTCCAGAAGTCGACGGTCAAGAAGCCGACGTTCAAGAAGCCAACGGTCCAGAAGTCGATGGTCCAGAAGCCGACAGTCCAGAAGCCAACGGTCCAGAAGCCGATGCTCCCGGACCAGAAGTCGACGCCCCTGGACCAGAATTCGACGCCCCCGAACCAGAAGTCGACGGTCCAGAAGTCGACGGACCAGAAATCGATGCCCCCGGACCAGAAGTCAATGGAGGTCGACGCCCCAGTCCTGAAGTCGACTCCCCTTCCAGTCCTGTGGTCGATGCCCTTTCCAGTCCTAAGGTCGACGCTCTCCCCAGTCCAGAGGTCGACGCTTTCTCCAGTCCGGGTCCTTTTCTAACCCGAATGTTTGGTTGTGTAAACGCATATCGGAATATCCCCATTAAAGCGTGTGTTCTGCGCATGCTCTGTTCGCAAGGAATCTTGGTCTTTTGAGTAGCGAGACGTCTTGTAAGCGCCAGAACACCGGAAGTAAACAACAAGTTGGGAGCAGCATAGCGACTTTTGGAGTGACGAGGAAACCTGTCTTCATCGGTCTGGTGAAAAGTATGAACATTATGTCTTTTGTTGACGGCCGAAAGCACAGAGACAGCGAAATATGACGCATATTGCGTCTTGACGTAGTCCATACGTCCTGATGCTACCCCAACGTCCGCATTTAAATCGGGTTATGCAAGTTAGGGGTAACTCTTTCTATTTATGCTTGTAAACGGGTTATTCTGATCAACTCAGAAACCAGAATACCGACCTTAACCCGATCATAACTCGGATA